CTTAACTTCATTTTAAGATTCACCCAGATTTTGAAGCGGTTCCTACGTCAAGAAAAAAAATTTCGAAGAGTGACCAAATTGCTCATGTTAACGCAGACATGAACAAAATATGACTTATCAAGTTCAATTAAGTTTGGCAATATGATAAGATATATATATATATATATATATATATATATATATATATATATATATATTGGTATAAAATGACAAGTGGAAAAAATCTTAGATTTTGCCAACGCGTTTTGTCTTCCGACCTTTTCAAGGCAAAAATGAAATCGAAATGTTTTTGTTGTTATAGTTACATTAAAAAATCCAAATTTAAAAAGGTAGACGTTTCTGTCTAAGCAATTTTTTCTAGTTAATGTAAATTACCTTTATAGTAAGGGATTTTTTTTTCCATGTCGACAATATAGTTAAATTGAAAAGAAGCATTTCCTGGAACTCCTTTTCTGAGATAGCGAATAGCTGTCTCATTACATTCTCTTGGATTTCCTCGACGTCTTGAAATCTTGATTTTTGTAAAGAAGGAAAAGGCGTAAGGGGAGAGATCCGAGGCAATATGGACTATGCTGTGATTGGGCAGAAACTGCTGCACAAGTCATATTCACCAATGGAATATCTGTGGTTAGTGAAACGACCACACACTACACACTTTCCTTCCCAAGCATTGATATAGACAATGGAAATGAGCAAGAACGTTATAACTTAATGTGACAGAATTCAAGGTCAATCTGTACCAAGCGGTTTCACTTTGCGTACATTAGCTCCGTAATTTTTTTTTTTTATCAAACCTCATATAAAGAACAGCGTGGAAAACTTACACATGGAATAAAAATCTAATAACCGAAAACACTATTTTTAAAAGAGTGCTCAATAGAGCTAACAATATTTATTCAAAATTATAGCATATGAATGTTTTAAGATCACTGCAAAATTTTGTTTCGATATTTCTGGTGACTTATGAAGTGATCTTCACTTGATATGACACCAGAAGTGTCGAAACAAAATTGCAACTTTTGTAGTGATTTTATAACATGCATATGTTATGATTTTGAATATATTATCATTATTATCATTATTATTATTATCATTATTTATATATGTGTTGCCATTGTTCAATATGGCATAATTCAAAGCAATTTTACCCGGCAAGATGGCGTCGAACATCATTAATTAAATACCGTAAAACCTCAGATCACTCGGCGCCATTACTGCTCTTTAGCCACCAAGCACAACCCAGAAATAGTTTGTTTTAATTGGTCGATGCTTTAGCCGATTGTGTGCAGCTTCGTCTCTTTGATTTGCTCACTCATCTATTTATCTCGATCTTTTTTCCTTTTTTTTTTTTTTTTTTTTAAACTACTCCATTTTTAATGTCTTTTTTGTTGCACTTTAATGTGTTTTGATTTTTGTGTATATGCGTGTGTGTGTGGGGGTCTCAATCTTCTGTTTTATTTTTTAGGACTTGAAGTTTTTGTTTTTGCCTTGGGCTTCAACTTTCATGCCTGCCTGTTGAAAAGGAATAGTCCATTAAATGATCATCAGACGAAGAGAAAGAACACGGCTTTCCAATCAGTCGCTTTATCGAGAAACGGAAGACATCCCGGCGAGAACAGAGAGGACGGCTATTAATTGTGTTATGCCATCAAGAGGTTTAGCAATAATATGGTGAACATGGAGAAGCAGCGATGGTGGCGAGAAAAGGTGAGAATGGGAGAAAGTGAGAAAATTACGCACAGAGATGAGAAATATAACGATAGAGAAAACGTTGTTTAGCGAAATGGGTATCAGAGAGAGTGAGAGAGAGAGGAGGAAAAACAAGAACGAAAAGCGAGAAGGATATAAATTGAAAGGAAGGAAGAGAGAGAAAGAAGATGAGAAAGAGAGAAGAAAACTGATGTCAGGGAAAGAATGAGCGTGACGACATAGTAAGAATAAGAGAGGGAGATGTGTGATACGAACGAGCGAGAAAAGGGATACAGTATTCAAGAGACAAAAAAGGATATCTGTGAACAGACAAGAAAAAGAGAGAGAAAAATATATGTAAGACAAGGGGGGGGAGTAAGACAAGGAGAATTATTATATGCACATATAGAAGGTATATAATAAAGGTTTATATATTAATAAACAAAATATTCTTTAATAAATAACACAATACTACTTCTCTGGATCCAGACAAGTAAGAAATCACGAATCTCCGAATCCGTCAGGAAAAAGTGCTGTGAAGTGATTATATATATATATATAGTGGATGTGTTCAAAAGTACGTTGGGAGCTAAAGACTTTAGTCTCTCGGCTAATATAATTGCCATTATCAAGAAGTTTTTTTCGCTTGTGTGGATACATATATATATATATATATATATATATATATATAGAGAGAGAGAGAGAGAGAGAGAGAGAAGAGAGACATTAATTATATATATATTTTATATATTATATACATTGTATATACGTATATTTATATATACATACATATATATATGAATATATGCTTATATTATATATATGCATACATACATTATATAAACATTTATATGTATACATGTGCATACATTATAAAAATCGTATATATGCATATATACATACATACATTATACATATACACATACATTAGATATATATACATATATATATATACACATAAACATATATATACGCAGATATACATGCATTATATACATATATGTGGATATATTATATAGAGATATACATGCACATTATATATATATATATATATATATATATTTTATATAAATTATATATGCAGACACATTGCATAAATGCATAAGTTATATATATATATATATATATATATATATATATATATTAATAGTTCAATATACAGATATACAAGCAAACATCCGTAAACATATATAAATTATATATAGGAAATGTGTGTGTGTGTGTGTAGATTTATACGTAAATTGTATAGGTATATATAAACAAATTACATATATATATATACTTACATGAAAGATATATATATATATATATATATATTTATAAACATACATAAAATATATATAAGCATATATTATATACAAATATATATATACACATATATACATTATATCTACACATAATATATATATATATACATACATATATTACATATATACATACATTATAAATATACATTATATAGGTATATTCACTTTATGTTAATATCGATATACATTGTATATAAATATATATACTACATATGTTCACTATATATATATATACGTGTTATATATACCCACATATTTATACATATATACATATTATATACATATATATATATATTATATACACTATATATATATATATATATATATATATATATATATATATATATATATATATATATATATATACATACATTTATATATATACACTATATATCTCTCATACATACTTATATGCACTATATATATCTCAGTACTTACATATATGCACTATAAATACATATATTTATTTACATGCATAAATATTATATACACTATATACATTTACAGTGTATTTATACATACATATTATACAATATTTATATATATGCATACAATATATATATATATATATATATACACACACACATCTACTATGTATATATATACATATATATACATTGTATATACACACATCTACCATCTATATATATATACACACATATACATATATATATACATACATTATATACACACAATATATATATATATATATATATTATATACACACACATATACTATATATATATATATATATATATATACACACAGCTACATACATTATAGATATAGATCATGTATATATATGTGTGTGTGTGTGTGTGTGTGTGTGTGTGTAATGATGGTGCCTTAGCTGTCAACATCCGTTTAAAAAGCCCATTTCATGCAAGTAATGTCATGACAAGAAATCCTTTATATAATCCATATGACAGCGCTATAATATAGATCCGTTTCGAAAGCTCATTTTCTTTAGAATAAAATCTCGTGCTAAGTTGAGTATTTGTGTCAGTGTCTAAGATCAAAAGAAGCTTGACATCGTACACATTCAATGTTCTGTCTTTGAATATCTATATGAACAAGATAACTCGTTGCTTTTGTATTCCCTGGTCATATCTTAATCAGGCTATATTCAGAAGAAATCTCTTACAGTAAAAAAGGGGCGACAAAGATAGAGGAAAGGCTTAGAGATAACACAATTATCTGAAACTCGTAACACTAAAAGTAATACTCGAGACGCGAGGTTCTAATTCCTCACAGAAATAGAATATTAAAAAATAGAAAGTGTAATTGTAAGTCTATAGTTGCAGGAAGCTGGATTCTGGAAAGAAAGCGTTCGTCCTCAATTGGTAAGAAATAAATTGGCAAGAAATCAGATGAAGAATTTTGTTGGGAAAAGAGGTAGATTTGACGAAATGTTCGAATAAAAAAATGTGTGAAAAGTTATCAGATACGAAATAATATCAGATATCCTTGTGTTATCTGTCAGAATCCGGGCGCCAAGATTTTGAATTTAGTTACGATAGGGTTCCACAGCAATAAGAACTTACAGTACAATATATACATACCTACATACACATATATATCAAGTGAAAGAAAAAGGGTTGGTGTTCATTCTCTCTATGTTGTCAATCAAAATCATGAAAATCCATTAAAATATAAGGGGGAGGTAACTCATTTGTATGTCCGCTAACGCCACTGAGAATGGACTTCGATAATAATAAAAAAATGATTAAAAATAAATTAAAAAATGATTTTTGTATTTTATCAGTTTAATAAGATATAACGGAGGAAGGATTCTCTGAACACAGACAGGGAAAGGCGAGTCCCCTACTACCGGTAGAGTCAATCGATTATTTCAGTCAAGAATTCCATTTTTTTTTTTATACAAATTGCAGGGATTTTTTCATATTTTTGTCTCACGAGAATTATTCCCTGTTTAGAGACAGAACTAGTGGGGAAGCAAAGAGTTAAGAGAGGGAATGAAAGAGCGAGTCATAGAGACAAATTTCAAGAGAAAAAAAGGAACGGAGCATAAACGAGAGAGATAATAAGAGAGAGATAATAAGAGAGAGAGAGAAATAGAGATAAAAGTGCTAGAAAAAGAAAGAGAGAAAAGGAAGATAGAAAAAAGAAAGCTAGAATGGAAAGAGAGAAGAGTAAAAAAGAAAGAGTAGAGAAAAAGAAACGGAGCGTAAAAGAGAGAGACCCAAAAAGAACTGTACAAAAGAAGGAGAAAAGAAAAAGGAAATAGAAAGAGAAAAGAGTGAAAATGGCAAAGAGAGAAAGAGAGAGAAAAAGAATATGAGAGAGAAAGGAAGCAGAGCGTCTATACGAAACCATAAGAGAGAGAGAGGGGGGAATAGAGATAAAAGAACTAGACAAGAGAGGAAGTAAAGAAAGAGAGGAAAAAGAAAGAGAGAGGAAGTAAAGAAAGAGAGAGGAAGTAAAGAAAGAGAGAGGAAGTAAAGAAAGAGAGAGGAAGTAAAGAAAGAGAGAGGAAGTAAAGAAAGAGAGAGGAAGTAAAGAAAGAGAGAGGAAGTAAAGAAAGAGAGAGGAAGTAAAGAAAGAGAGAAGACGTAAAGACAAGAGCGAGAAGTAAAGACAAGAGCGAAAAGGAAAGACAAGAGCGAAAAGGAAAGAGAATGCGACAAAGAGAAAAAAAAAATGGTCCTGTTTACAAATAAATGGAGAATGAAACTACCTGCGGACCATTTCCATTTCATAGAGTTAATGCACTCGGAGTGAATGCGTGAATCTTTATCGCTTCCGGTGGCGAATGCCTGAGCTGTACTTATTGTTGTATTTACCCCCCCCCCCGCCATCTCCTTCTTCTCTCTCTCTCAACCTCACGTTCACAGACAATAAGATTTTACCATGCATTAACCCTATCCACAGAGATGCCGAATGTTCGGTGCTTCGAAAGAATGCCGTCTTTGACGAGTAGAGGGGCCAATGGGGAAAGATTTCACGTTTACAGGTTGAACAAACCGGACTATTTTTCTGCTCCGGGTTATAAACAAGACACAAAAGAAGTAGAAGTGTACAAGAAATATAAAATGTAAACGAGAGAAAAAAGGACGGAAAAGAGAAAAAGTTTAAAGAAAATATGGCGATGAATAGAATACAGAGAAAAACAAGAGAGTGGGAATGATCAGTGGAAGAAAGATGAGAAAAAGAGAATGAGGAAAGATGAGAAAAAGAGAATGAGGAAAGATGAGAAAAAGAGAATGAGGAAAGATGAGAAAAAGAGAATGAGGAAAGATGAGAAAAAGAGAATGAGGAAAGTAAGAAAAAGAGAGAAAGTTGACTGTTATATATCGTATCTATGAACACTAATGGGTATGCCTTAATCCTCATAAATACGTTGGAAACTATTGTAAGTGGGGATAATATGATGTCTAAGTAGTTTACCACTAGCAGTGGTTTACCTGCTTCACGCCGCTGGCGAGTATTGTATTTTGTTGATGTTATAAAGATTACCATTTCATTTGCAACCTCCGTCTTGGTTATTTCTTATTCAGTAATACTTGCTAGGTTACAACGATGAGCGAGAAAGAAAAAAGAAAGCGAGACAGAACAAAAAAAAGAAAGAGGCAGTAATAGAGAGAGGGGGTGAAAAATGGAGTTTAGAGGGAAAAGACAAAGAAATTAAGAAATGAATAATAAAAAGAGAGAGAGAGAGAAAATGGGAGAATAAACAGGAAAAATCAATAGTTGGGAGAGAAAAACTGAAAAGTATACGGATATAATCAGTAGCAAGAAAGATAGGGAGGAAATCGGGGAGAGACATTAACCAAACAAAATCAAATCAAAAGAACTACCAGTAATATGCGTATATATTTTCAATCCCTATATGGCAAATGTGCACAAGAGATTTATTAATTAATGCCGCCCGTTCAGGCATTTAGAGGTTTTACTTGCTATGTAAACAATGTTGAATTACCATCATTTCTTTCGTATTCGAGAAGGGACTTCCACTCGGCCAAGTGAGGAGGGACTTCCACTCGGCCAAGTGAGGAGGGACTTCCACTCGGCCAAGTGAGGAGGGACTTCCACTCGGCCAAGTGAGGAGGGACTTCCACTCGGCCAAGTGAGGAGGGACTTCAACTCGGCCAAGTGAGGAGGACTTCCACTCGGCCAAGTGAGGAGGGACTTCCACCTGGCCAAGTGAGGAGGACTTCCACTCGGCCAAGTGAGGAGGGACTTCCACTCGGCCAAGTGAGGAGGGACTTCCACTCGGCCAAGTGAGGAGGGACTTCAACTCGGCCAAGTAAGGAGGGACTTCAACTCGGCCAAGTAAGGAGGGACTTCAACTCAGTTTCTCTCTAAGAATTCCTACATTGTGAAACATGATCCCGCGTGAATTCTTCCCCGTCCGATACAACTTCTTTTAACATGAGATCAAGTGTGTTTTTTTTCCTAGACATCCTCATAATATTAACTTCTTACTCCCCCCTCTTATTTTGATTGGCTCTCGAGCCTTGTCTTAGGTGAAAATTATTTGAAAAAAAAAAAAATGAATCACTGGACGTCATGGTTTGCTTCTTCATCCAATGTGCCTTATAACTGCAATTATGCTGAAAAGACTTTAGTTACAGTTTTGAAATAGAAATTATTTGGCGTGATCAACACTGTTTGAACAATGCTAAATAGCTCAAAACGATGGCTCGTGACTTCCTGTTATTTATACACACGAAAAATGCTTTTCAGAAGCTGAGACAGAAATTATTCAGATGTTTTCTTTTTAAACCTGAAGGAGTCTTAAACCGATAACTTTCCTAATGCCTTTGGCAAACAAGTGAATCTCTATTCCTCCAGCTACAAGTTAAATAAAATGGGAGATTTGACATCGGTGGCAACCAATCTAAGATATATAGACATCTGAATTAACCAAACTACGGATTTGGAAAAAAAAAACTCAACCCTACGTAAATTCGGATAGGAGCACGAAAGATGATCGGAAGGAGTCCTGAGTCACCTTCTGGTAACTTTTTGCAATTGCGTCAGGACAAGACTGTATTGCTTTCCCTTTGAGTCGTCGAAGAGGGAGAGGATGAGAGATATCTTGACATATGGGCAGCCCAAGATCATCATAACTCCTGCCCTTGTAGTGCAGTGCGCTACACCAAAGCGCAACACACACACACACATACATATATTATATATATATATATATATATATATATACGCGGTTAAGCTAAAAGCACGCCGGGTTATACGGTGGATTCCCTTACATAAGGTGAACGCAATGTCGGACCCTGCTGAAGGGTACATTATCTTGATTAAAGGCTCTTGAAAACCCAATCCAGTAAACGAAAATTATACTGTTTTTTTTTTTTTTAAAAAAAAGAGATATCTATACAAACACGGGTATTCAATATATATATATATATATATATATATATATAATAAAACTCTAAAGTGCAGTCTGTTGTTTCTTAGTTTTATTTCTTTATGATTCGCTGAACGAAAATCGTTGAAGTAAAAAGGAACAAGGTATCCGGCTAATGGCATCAGACGAGCAAAAAAAAGAAGAAAAAAAATAATAATAAGTTAAGAAAGAGAGATGGAGAGTGAAAAAGAATAACAATAAAATAAAAATCACTATATTTTCTGCTCCGAATTCATCACTAAAAATATAGCAAGACTAACTACGCTTAGAAGGAAGTCTATAAAACCGAACAACCAAGCCAATGCAAAGAAAAAAAAAAAAGAAAGAAAGAAAAATGGAGGCCATTGTAGTTTCATCGTTACGTTAACGTAAAAAAAAAAAAAAAATCAACAATACATGTACTTATAATTCGCATTGTATTCAATGAACACATTACTCACTGTAACCCCCCGCCTCGTTTTATAAACACGTGTGTAGATTTTGACTGAGTTTTATTCTAACCTTAATTACTTCGAAAAAGCCGACAAGCCAGCGCAAATAATCAGGGCCTGAATACGGTTATGATCGTACCTCTTTTTTTTTTCTGAAGACCATCATCAAGTCATGCTTCGTTTCTTTTATACCCGTTCTATGGCAGATCTGCGGAAGTAGCCAGCAATGAATTCTCTTCCTTTTCGCGCCGTCTGTTACTTTTTATCTCTTGCTACAGAGAGCAGAGCGCTGAATAATCTCAAAATGGCGGTACAGGCAAAAACAAATCCATTAATTTGTACATCTATTTTGGGCATGCGCTGTTTTTGCCATCACTATAGACCTTTCACTTTTCTCTCTCTCTCTCCCTCTTTATATATATATGTGTGTGTGTGAGATAAAATATAGTTTTTAACGTATGCTATATTTATGGGTGAAAAGTGCTCAATATAAAGGAAAGAACATATATAAAGCAGTGTGGACACAGGTATCAACACTGGGTGGCAACAGAGGGCGTAATGCTTAAACGCAATCATCGGGCCTAACGGTTACGCTTAACCATGAAACAGACTCTCTATCAATATATATATATCGCACATTGGATGCCTGTGTTAATAAAACGGTGTTCAATGTGATATAATAGAACTATAAAATGTATATTTATATATATATATATATATATATTATTCCTCACCGGTAGTACGACACGGAGTTTCATGCGTTGTGCATATATATATATATATATATATATATATATATATAAAGAACAGTAAGATATATAATCTGGTGTTCTTATAGATATTTTTATTTTTACAAAATAGTGCTCAATGTAAATTTACAGAGCATTAATATTATAAAATAATTTAAAATATGGTTTTTCTGCTACACAGTTCTAACCATGTTTCAAAAATGGAAGCTAAAAGCTTCGAATTTAATTTTGTAATTAAATTAAAAACATTTAAAAGTTACTCCAAAATTCGCTTGAGGATGAAATTGATCTAATGTCTTTAATTTAATTACAAAATTAAATTCGAAGCTTTTAGCTTCCATTTTTGAAACATGGTTAGAACTGTACCAGAAAAACCATATTTTAAATCAATTATAATATATATATATATATATATATATATATATATATATATATATATCTCTCTCTCTCTCACACACACACACATGCGGAGGACTACCCGGAAGTTTTTGAAGAAGTAGTGTATGTGGGTGACGTCTATATATGTAAATAAGATTATTTTTTATATATCATAAGGTGATATTTTAAAATGTAAAAAACGGAGAGGGTACACATCTGCAAACAGATGGCGTTTCTAGAGAGCTAATCGATATTCACTTTACGCGTGCTTTGGGCCATCAGTGACAAAAATAATGATCTATATATATATATATATATATATATATATATATATATATATATATATATATGTATGAAAAATAGGTTCAAATAGATATTTTAGATCAGTTTAAAGGATCAAAAGGTAAAGTATAAAATGCTCGAATAAGTTTACCCCCCTGTTAGGAAATATGAAACTAACAATACAGATTAAATTTACACAAAAGTCTTTGTGAGATTATCCCCAGAGATAGATATAAAGTATTTACAAAATCCATAACCAGGCAGTAATGGTCATTGTCGTTTCGTCGTAAGTGTCAATGTGAGTGGACACTTATTAATTGAAACTGTATGGGGATTTTATATACATGAATTTACAACAGGCAATTTTATGTAATTTCAGTTAAAATGCAAGACAAAAAGTTTAAGGGAGAAGAGAGAGAGAGAGAGAGAGAATGTAAACAGGGAAAAGCAGAGAGGAAAAAGAAAAAAGAAACGGGAGAAAAAAAGTGAAATAAAAATAGAATGCATACATTTGCTTTGATTTATCAAGAGGACGAAACGCGTTCTTATTAGGTTGGTGCAAAAATAATGACGTAATAATGTCGTTTTGTGACGTATTTTTTTAACCTCAAAAAACGACATTATTACGTCATTATTTTGCACCAACCTAATATAAATAAGTTCTCCTTTTGTCTTTATTCCTATATAATATCACTTTAAACGTTATCTTTTTTAGTAGATGCGTATACTTGAGTAGATGTTCCGTTTACCTATTGAACAGTACGTTTATTTATTTTCATCTATGGCTTCAATGTTCGAGAAATCTTATTAAAGAAAAAGATGCACCCTACGGTAGGATTCGAACTCGTGTCCCCCTTTGAAGGAGAAACCGTCGTTCTATCGGACGAGCTTTAGACCGACTCGGCCACAAAGTGTCTTGCCGATCGAGCAAAGCCGAATAGAGTCTTATAAACGCAATTCCTCCCCAGACTCTGTAAAGTTCATAGCTACTTACTTTCTAAATCGAACCTAAACAAACCAATTTCTAAAGGAGTAATATATTCTTTATTTATTATTCTGTCGGATTAATAAATAATAAAAGTCCATTATCTTGTTATATATATATATATATATATATATATATATATTACAAAATGGCTAAAGTTCACAGATTTTAGGAAGTGTTTATTTTTTAGGATAAATTCTCTAGATGGCAACTATAAATAAGGAATAAATAAATATATTTCTTACCTGCCCAGAATTTTACTGACGCAACCATGGGAGACACGTAACTGTCGAGAGATATCACATGGTCGGACCCCTTGGTGGGCCAATTCCACAATCCGTTGCCGAACTGCGTCCGGTAAGGGCCTCCCGTTAACAAACACACCACCTAGTTGGTTAACTCCGCCGTGGCCTGCTTTAAAGAACAGAGACGAGGAAAGAGAAAAGAAAAAGAATACTTTAATATACAGACATCATTATTTGTTACTGTAATCGTTTTTTTTTTGTTTTTTTTAAACAAACAAATTTGAAAGAAAATCTGATACTTACAAGAGGGTCTTGGACAGTTAAAAGCATATTCATTTACATGCATTGATCAAAGAAGATTAAGAAACGCACGTGTTCAGTAATAAGTCTAAAAACAGTACACGTTGCTAGTCGCGTGGCTTAAGTACATATTGTGCTTATATACAGCCTTTTGTTACGAAGCATACGGTAAATAGTTATGTATATGACGAATTCAAGTATAGTGTGGCCTCTGAATTTTGGGGCATGAATTTTAACCCTTCCGGGAAAAGATTTATTTGTGTATAGTAAAACTGGTTTATGAAAATGTATGAGTTTTAACCTGTTAAAAAAAAAAACAAAAGAAAAAACACCTGTGTATAGTGTGACTTCATATTTTTGCGTAAAAATGAGCTAAAAAAATTCGCACTATATTTGGTTATATACGGTATATATAAAGTGACCACTCAGCATTAAAAGAGATCAAACTGTCCTTTTTAGCGCTACTATTACAATCAATGGCTATAGAAAGGAAACCTTACCGTTTTTCAACCTACCATTATATCTCAATTCTCCTTACAAATAAAACGATAACTCTCAACCACAGACGGCCATGTTGTCATTTTACCACGTAAACGGAAAATCATACACGTTTGATACAATAAATAAAACGCTCTTGTATTAGCATATTTATGTTTTATCAAACATGTATTACTATAAAAAAATAACATAACCCTTTATTTCCTGCATTTGTTTGCACAAATATAGCTTTTTACAATTTCTACTATGTCTGCAATTTCATTTTCAATGGGAGTTTGCCCTAGCTACCAAAGAGACCTTCAAATCTTAGGATTTATATATGTAATCTGTAGTCATCATGGCGTTCTATAAATAATACGTTGCTTCCAGTGGAACGAGGGGCGTTTGAAATAGGTATCCACTTCTGACCATTATATGCACTATGAGTAGGCCAGCAGTAAAGAACACCGTGAAAGGCACTCACAACATCCATGTTGAATATTTAATAAGCTAATGCAATGTGTGAGTAATTGAAGTGGAGAGCCGAGTTCAAGTACAGTCCTGGTCTGTTGCATTCAGTTTGAACTTGCGGAATGTGTGTTGTGACCACATTGTGCCACATCTACACTATGCTTAGAAAATCATTTGGGCACCTCGGGGTAGCGTAATGGTTAGCAAGCTGAGTTCAATCCTCACTGATTGCCCCTTACTTTCGGCCTTGTGCCACATCCAAGCCTTGCTTGCAAAATCACTATTTCAATAAGGATTATGCATCTGAGGAAGTTTGGCAAATAAATTAGGTCGAAACGTTATGGCAACAGTAAATAGGAAAATAATAGTCCAAACAAGATTAGATAGGTTCGACTATCGTCTAGTTCGCATTCCTACTTAGAATTTTGGACAATTTTTTTAGTTTTATCGCTTGCTTCCTGTTTAGGATCGGGTTTCCGGTTCAATGTAAAGTCTTTTCGTTCTCTTTCACTCCCAGTAGCCCCTTGCGTCTTGGTGGCCCTATCACCTTGCATGAGGTGAAGTGATTAAAAAACATTTGAAAGTAATAAACAATGTCACAGTAAATTGACATTTATTGCAAGTTTTTTTTTTAAGCGTTTCACCCCCAAGCAAGGCGGGAAGGGGTTACAAATGATTTGGAGCAAGATCAGATAGGAGTGATAGAGGAAAGGATGAGGAGAAGGATAGTGGATAGATCAAGACAACTGGAGATGTCGATTGACATTACATTTGAATGATTGGAGATTATAGCTCTCAGGGAAACTGGAATAGGGAAGGGATTTCCACAAGCGAGAGGTGCGAGACATGAAGCTATTGAAGTAGAAGAGACGGCTACATTTAGTAGTTTCGACAGTGAAGGGGTGAGAGCGGGATGCCGGACTCGTAGGGCGTTTGAATTCATGAAGTCTGGGAACCAGCGAATGCAGCTCCTCGGAGCAATTACTATGAAAGTATTTGTTAAAAAGACAGAGAGAGGTGATGGCGCGTCTGTGTGAGAGTGACTGTAGACGAGATGCCACAACAGGGCCAATTATATCGCATATCCGCCTCTGGAGCCTATCAAGAACCCCGAGGCAAACAGAAGGGGCTCCTGACCATATATGGCAGCAATATTCCATGCAAGGACGAATTGTTGATTTGTAGATCTGAAGGATCGATTCCGGGGAGAAAAATTTCTTGGCGCGGCACAGGGAGCCAACTTTCCTTGCGGTGGACGAAGCAATTGACTCAATGTATTTGTTCCATCTCAGGTCAGCAGTCAACGTGAGACCCATGAAATGAAGGTGCTAGCATCATTTTTATTTTATACCACCCATCCCCACTCCCTAAGCGCCAATCACCCGAGTCAGACGATGTAGAGAAATGCTGTTGTTTAGTGGGTAAGATCAAGAAAAATCTTGTCAACATGCTCTTTCTAAATGGCTTCAAGATTCTAGGCGGGAACTGAAGTCGCGGGAATTTTCCGCTAATCCTTCAAATCCATCATTTTGGAAGGCATTAAGCTATTTCAGGCGATGTGCAGCTGTGAAGGCGACCTATTTCTACAGCAAAGAATCGGTGATAAAAAAAAACAAAACAAACTATTTATGCTGTGAAAACGGTGTGAAATTTTTCGCGTTGAAACAGGAAAATGCGAGAAGACCACGTGCATGACTACCAATCACCGACAAACGTAGAATGTATTCTCCTTATCAGAACAAAGAATGCAGCTGCTAAAAAGAAATAAAGTTTATAAGACACCTTAACAAAAACAAAAAAAAAACTCTTCAAAATGGCAGAATGTACATTCTAATGCGTTTTTAAATCCCTGGCAGAATACATCAATAGCTTGTGAATGTATACTTTCCAGACAAAATCTTCAGCTCAAAAGCTGTAAAAAGTGCGCTAATTTCTCAAGTCAGCATCTAAAGTCAGAGTAGAAGGATACAAAAAAGATATATCGAAATGATTGGTAGAAAAATTTGGCATGGCAGATCATAAAGTGCACATCACTTTTAGATAAGCTGAAAGACGACTGGAGAGTGTGAAGATTGAAAGAAATGGTAGAGATCGCATTGTTAGGCTATAGGGAAAGAATTTAGCCTATTAATAAAAGTCAGCTATGTTACGGGCTTGGTAGTAAATAGCATCGTCTCGCGTTGCTAGAATGAATAGAGATGGAATTCAAAGGTTTTTCTAATATCCACTAATGTCAGTACTGCTATTGACATTCGGATTATTGTCCTCATTTTTGTTGTTGTTATCATAACGTTTCG